TATATGGGAAGAAATCAAGTATGTCATTGTATAAATGAGTCTAAAGCCCACAGACAAGTGTGCATTACAAATGTAGATACGGAAGTCAGTATTGTATATGAGCTGGTTGAAGCCATGAGCAAGCCTGCCGAACAGAGTGTGTCAATGAAAAACTAGGATAGAGAGTAGACCCTCCAAACACCAGCACTTCAAGGAACCTTTGGGAAAAAGGGTCAAGTGAAAAAGAATGAGTAACACCATGCCAGTCAACGATAGATTAATCCCATAGTCATATCAACCAGTTTTGCAAAGGTCCACCTTTCCCACATCCCTCTAACTTAGTTGCCTTAAACAGAATATCTGTTGTTGAGAGAGCAGCAAGAGGTATGTCCTCTTCACAGGCCCCAGGCTTTGTGGGAGTTCTGAAAGTCTCAGTGGTACGAGAGAGCACTACCTTCTCCCCAACTGCTTTTAATGGGACTTTACAGTCAAAGCCCCTGACAGTCTACTTTTTAGAAGTTAGCTATCTAGGTTGCAGTTATCACAAACATAAACGTTTTTAATGACAAATTTGCCTCAGAGGTATGCAGAGCGGTTGTCATAAGCAACATGGAAAACGAGCCCCTGAACTGAAATGAATATTTGGAATTAAATTTTTCAGGTTGTGCATGAGGAACCATTTCAAGCTCTGTTTCCCTGCTAAGATTGTAAATGTTGGGTTCTTTGACCCAAGTCTGAGAAGGTCTCAAGAGAGGGTAATTTGGCTTTGATTTTGGAAGACAATATGTTGTTTCCTCTCTCCCCCAGTTCTCCAACAGATGATTTATCAGTGGTTAAAGGGTCCCCACCCCTGTATTTGGGAATCTGGTCGGAATGCTTTAGGATGCTGTGTCTTACAGATGGGAAGTGCTGAGGACCCATGAGATACTGGTTTGAAAGCTCAATTGATAATGAATATAATATGTTAATATTTTTCCTTTTCCTCCTCTGTCCTCACTGATCTTTATTAACCCAGACAAGCACCCAGTTTCCCTTCAAGCCTCTGTTTTTGCAACAGTACACTATTCATGTTGGTGCATAGGTATATACCAGCTAGCTGGCTGTCCCTTTTGATATCCCTGTGACTCCTTTGGAGAAGAGCTCAACCAGGGATTTCCTGTGAGTTCACAAGTGGGCGAGGGTCACTGTGCCCAGGATGGGCTTCTCTTCCTTCCTGTGCTCTTCACATGAGGAGTTCCCGTGGCATGCATTTGGCATTGTCACCATCACAGAAGTAAAAACTTACCCAGAAGGAGGCCCTGTGGTGTATTTTTCAAGAGGTTCAACCTTGCAGCAGCCTGGTTTTGTTCTCCTGCTGCACAGTTAGATAAATTACTCCTGGATGCTGATATTGTAGCTCCCTCTAGTGTCACTGTGGCTCAGACTCTCGTAGCATCTTTCTTCCCTTTCAGAACATGTAAACAGCGCAGACTCTGCCAAATTCACAGCATTTTAAGTAGATTTTCCCAAACGTAGACAAGACAAATATGAGGTGATTTTTCTCCTAGTAGAAAAGGGAATGTTAAATGAAGATGTGGGGCCATTCCAACTCTAGTTTATTTTTATTCCTATTTTCAAATTTTGGGGGTCCTAGAAGGAGTCCTGAAGTAATCATTTATAGATTAAAGAGTAGCTGGCATGAACAAGTAGAATCTTTCTTGAGATTCCTCCTGTTCATGCCAGCTTCTCTTTATAAAGAAGAAATGTGAATTCTTTTCAGGAAAGATTAATGAGAGCCAAGAAAAAGTTACTTTGATCCCTGGTAGAGAAAATACTGGGTAAAGGGAGAAGGAAGAGATTTGGCAGGAAAAATCCTATCCATTTGTTCTGAAAAAAATTGACTTGTTTTCTGAAATAACTTTTAAACTAGAAATTTATTATCTGAAGTCAGGTCATATTGAGTTTTTTTTTTTTTAACTAAAGGAGTTATTAATATTTGAAAAATGGCTATGATGTGGTACCTAGAATAATATAATACTCCTACCTAAATTAACATCATTGCAGGCTCCATAATAAATATTTATTAGATACCCACCAAGCAAAATCCTATGATGGAAATCTCCATAGGTCTGTGTTTGGGTGGTAACTGTTTTCAGGGTTATGAACCAACTAAAATCACTCTTTTTTTCTCCTCTTTACCCTCTAGTCTTCTCCCTTTTGCCTTTGTCCTTAAATTAGAGTGACTCATTATTCTTCCACCTGTCTATGTATTATAAAATGAAGAGATAAGGAAGTGCTGCCCACTCAGGTTGGCTATCTAGGGAGACCATTTTCCTTTATAGCATCTAAAATGGCGGAACAATTTATCATTTCTTCTTCGTAAATCATTTTGATCCTTTATCTCAAGCAGATCTGTGAGGCTAAACATAAATTCTTATTGTAGTGTCCACATTCTTATCTACTCACAAAGCTCTGGAGGACCATATAAAAATGTGTGTGTCTGTGCGAATGTCTAGATATAATTAGAATATCACAATTCAAATACTAGTCACAATTAGAATACCTTCTCTGCTTCTAATGTTAAACTACAAGGTGACAAATTTTTTTCAGCCTGACCTGACATAATTAAAACTAGACTTGGCAAAACAATTCTCTCTCGTAGCTTCAGGTTGCCCTATCTTGGATTCTAACATACTGCTGGTGTTAACTTGTTTGTCGGGGATGACCCTGGCTTGGAGGTGTTGAAGGTTAGCAGTTTCTTTTCTGCCCGTCCTCTGTCAGAGAGCCTCACTGCTATGGCAGGTGGCTGTCAGGACTCAAAATAAAAATGTGTTTTTCTGTTTTGTTCATTGTTCCAAAAAATTAGGATTCTCTAAGATTGTATTAGTTTGACATTTGCAAGTTGTTAACTGCTTTAGTCATTATCAGTGTTATATTTGTACAGCTTTGTAGTTTACAGATGTACTCTATATACTTGATCCCAATTAATCCTCACAACTGCCCTGTGAAGTAGATTTCAGTGTTCTTTATATTGGCTCCTTTAATAGGGAGACTGAGACCCAGAGAAATGCCCAAGGTTATATAGCTAGTGGCAAAGCTAATTCCCAGGCTTCCCAAGCCCTTGGAGAGTGTCCTTTTTACAATATAACAGCTAGAGTTTAACCATCCAATCTGATTCAGCTAAATTTAGTGGTATTTGATAGAACTTTCAAAGACTGAAGAGTTGAGACCCTTGAGCTTTCATTCCAGAAGACAGTGTAATATTAAGCAAATGTAACTGGCAATGGGGTTAATGGTGCCATGTGCTGGATCTAACTCCTGTACAACTGAACAACGACTGGTAAATAATTTTTAAGTACCTAGTGACGCTTAAATGTGAAATATTGTCAACAGTGCAGTTACAGAAATAACAAATGTTGTGATTGATGAGCATATAGGATTATATATTGTACTATATACACTAAGACTCAAGAGCTTTCCAGAGATAATATTTTCTGAAAGATATATGTTTGGACTTGAACTCAGCCTAGGAACGTCTGTTCAAGACAGAAGTTTGCTTAAAAAAGAAATACTTAGTATATCCTCAAACTGAATTAAGTAGATAGTAGAAGACTTAGAGGAACTTGTGCTCAGGGAGGGAGGGAGAGAGGGAGGGAGAGAGATTATCATGTCACTGGTCACTGATATCAGGCCTCTTTAACAGTGGTAAATATGGTAAACTAGAGAATAAAAGAGAGGGATGCTTTTCTTCCTTTAGACTCCCTTGCCTTTGGTCTTTTTTTTTTTTTTTTTTTAATATCTATTTGAATGGAAATCAGAATGTGCTGCTTCTCAGAACTGGGGACCCATCTGAATTATCTCATAAGAATGTATACATTTTTCTTTTTAAATAAAAATGACTAGAAATTGCTTTTTTAAAATTTGCTTTTCTGTATTATTGTAATAAACAGGCAGTGTAAGCACTACAGAGAGTGCGTGTTGCTGGGAGCCTTTGATATTTGTGATATATGACAGTGTACCCCTGCTGAGGAGGGAGAGCAGAGAATGACCCTCCACTAATAGGGCCGTGGAGCAGACTCCAGACCAGACGATTAAGATCCATGAACTAGTATTAGAGACTGAGTCTTCCGCTGTGAGCCTTTCTATAGCATGAGGATAACCCATTTGGGGTGGTTTTACTTACTTTTTGCTTTGATAACCCTTTAAGAGTAGGAATACAATTGTTGTCACAGTATGTAGAGCTCTTGCCTAACTTTTTTTTAATAAAAAAATTCTTCCTGGACCCATAACCACTTAATAAAGTTCTTTATGAAAGGTCTTATTGCCTCAATAGTGGGTGTTAAATGAGGCCTGTTAAGAGAAAGCATAAAACTCAGAAAACCGCCATCAAATGTTGGTGTTGTTCTGACTAGGTCAGATCAGTGACTCTCTCAACCCTACCGGTGAACCATGAGTGCCAGTGTTGTGACCATCACAATGACATTCATTGAAAAGTTAGGAAAACCCACAGTTTACCTGGCCAATGTTCTAGCACTCTCCTAACCTGTGAGATGTTGACACAAAGGATGATGGATGATGAAATAAGGTATTCTGGCCTACATTAGGAGTCCATTGCCCTGCTGTATAAGTCTGGGATACAAACCTCTACAGAAGTAAGTGGAAAATTATTTTATTGTTGTTCTGATGAGTTGCAAAGTTATAGTGGAAAGAGCAAGCTTTGGCATTAAACAGACTTGGGTTTGCAAAGTGATAACCCTGGGCTTTTTTTCTTTTTTGAATTCTTAGATCCTCAGTCTACTTTGAAAGTTAATGTGAGGACTAGAAATGGTACACATAAAGTGCTCACCACGGCCTGTCATGTAGACAACCATGAAAAATGGTTACCACCATTATTGCTGTCACTTAACATAGGGCAACCCTGGCTAATGACTTTATTATATGATCGCTTGTCCCTAACCAGTCACCTTCTGGTTAATCCTCCCTGATACATCACAAACCTGGTTATGAGAGTGTGAGTTTTACATTGTTTTATTATCTTTCAGATCTGTAAGAGCAAGGCTAAAGAATCTCAGCAGTATTACCACAGCCTGGCTGTCCGACAGAGTCTGGCTGTCCATTTTAACATTCAGCAGGACTGTGGTCATTTCCTTGCTGAAGTCCCTAACCGTCTGCTTCCCTGGGAGGATCCTGATGACCCTGAAATGGAAGAGGGTGACATGGAAGAGACTGAAGAAGAAGCCAAAGGAGAAATGGATGGGAAAAACCCAAAGCCCTGTTCTGAAGCAGCAGCATCCCAGAAAGAGAGCCCTGGAGTCGTGAGCAAAAAGCAGAGGAGCCATGTTGTAGTCATCACCAGGGAGGTTCCATGTCTCACTGTGGCTGATTTTGTACGAGATTCTCTGGCCCAGCATGGGAAAAGCCCTGATTTGTATGAGAGGCAAGTGTGTCTGCTGCTCTTACAGCTCTGCTCTGGTCTTGAGCACCTCAAACCCTACCACGTCACTCACTGCGATCTACGCCTAGAGAACCTGCTACTTGTCCACTACCAGCCTGGGGGCACTGCCCAAGGCTTTGGGCCTGCAGAGGCCAGCCCCACCTCATCTTATCCCACTAGGCTTATAGTGAGCAACTTCTCTCAGGCCAAGCAGAAGAGCCATCTGATGGACCCCGAGATCCTCCGGGACCAGTCTCGCCTTGCCCCAGAGATCATAACGGCTACCCAGTATAAAAAGTGTGATGAGTTCCAGACAGGCATCCTCATCTATGAGATGCTACACCTACCCAACCCCTTCGATGAGAACCCAGAGCTGAAGGAGAGGGAATACACAAGAGCAGACCTGCCTCGCATCCCACTCCGCTCCCCCTACTCCCGGGGTTTGCAGCAGCTGGCCAGCTGCCTCCTGAATCCCAACCCTTCTGAGCGGATCCTCATTTCAGATGCCAAAGGCATCCTCCAGTGTCTACTCTGGGGCCCCCGTGAAGATCTCTTCCAGTCTTTCACCACCTGCCCTGGCCTAGTGCAGAGAAACACGCTGCTCCAAAACTGGCTAGACATCAAGCGAACACTGCTCATGATCAAGTTTGCTGAGAAGTCCCTGGACAGGGAAGGTGGGGTCAGCCTTGAGGACTGGCTTTGTGCTCAGTATTTGGCGTTTGCCACTACAGACTCCCTCAATTTTATTGTGAAAATTCTGCAGCACCATTAGTGTGTACCTGGATGCTGCTTTCACCACATCTTCACCTTCTTCCTGTCACCCACACACTTCCCCTTCCTAGTGCTCACTCCAAATTCAAGGGAAGAAGAAAGACAAACCTCTTTCCCTGTCCATAAACAAGCGGGTCCATTCAGAAAGGTTATCCACTGCCCCAAATCAAGTGAGAAGCTGATTCTGTCTTAACTTTACAGAAATTCAGCTGCACAAACTTGCAGTTGCCTTCCCTTGAAACACTTTCCATCCTAATAGTACCATAAATGCAGGTAAAAAGGAAAATCCATGTTCTTGAAGGGACAGCTTCTTTGGTATGAACTCAGTGAGCCAGTGACCTCACTGAGGGTCCATTTCCTCCATAATTCTGGATATCACCTATCTTTTTAGCATCGAATGTTTATTCTCACTAGCTGTAGACAAATTTAACAGGTTTCTACTATGATCCAGTAGACTCTCACAACAGACTCTTCCTTTAAGGTGTCAGCAACCAACTTACTAGGCAGAATTGTCATTCTTAGCATCAGCCCACTTTTGGTTACCAGGAACTATATCCTTTGTTCCAGGAAAGAGTAGAAAGAAAAGGAGAGATCCCATCCTTGGGTCATAGACCCATTTTCATTACCATTATTTGTAAGTATGTGCAGTCATGGAGGACAGCCCTAATAGTCTCCCCTCTGCTGCCACTGCCCGATTCTCCACTCTGTCCCCACTTGCCAATGAAGTCTGGATTTATCAGCCACTTGTGGCCTATTACAGAGCTGACCCAAGGTAGTGTCACCATTGCCTCAGCAGGGTGGAATACGGTCCAGAGCATATAAATAGCTGGCAGGACATAAGGAGATGATTTTCTTGCATGTGCAATTCTCTAGGGGCCATCAGTGAACAGAGTGTAAAGTAACCTTTGATTACTGTCAGAACTGTCAGCAGTTGCAGTTTCCCCTGAGCAGTAATTGGCCAGCTCCCAACTATCAGTAGCCAGTGTTAACTAGTTTACCAAATGCTGTAAACAATTCCCCTGAATGAAATAGCTGTCAGTGGAGCTCGAAGATCTCCTTAGAGGGCACAGTGGGGTGGGCTGTTGGGATGGCTGGAAGGCAGGGTAAGGGAAGGCCACTGATGAGACTGCTGACCTCCTCCTCAGAATGTTGACCTCTTCTAGAGAGACTGCCTCCCAGTGTAAGTGGCTCATGGCTCCTCTGACTCTCTAAAACAGCTCTGGAGGACAGCTCACGGGAATTCTGATTGCTGAGGTGGGTGACTGAGAGCTGTTCACCATGTGTGCAGCCTGTACTCCTCTCCTATGGATATATGTGCAATTTTTGTATGTATTTTTTAGCTGTATATTACAGTGTTTATGTTGCAACTTCACCTGAAGCGAGTCTACAGAAACCTTCCCCCTTCTTCCCTTGGCACATATTTGCGCTAAGAGATGAGCGTTCCTTCCACTGGTGTGTGTGTGTGTATGTGTATGTGTGTGTGTGTGTGTGTGTGTGTGTGTGTAATGTGTGCACCTGTGCTTGTTTTATCCAAAACTGTGAGTGTGTGTTTACTTTGACCTTGAAATCCCAAGAGTCACTCGAGCAATGTGTGTGTACGCTTGTGTGCCCATGTGTGCGTGCACATGCGTGCTGGAAGTAAAGGCCAGGCCTCTAGAGAAGCAACCTGTGGCAGGGTTGACAGACATGTTCTCTGTGCCTAGTCAGTGAGCGAGCCCTGAGGCCCCTCATCTACCAGCACAGAGTTTCCTTAAAGCCAAGACTGATTGTGTAGTAAGTATTACGTACATAGCACATTAGTGGCCTTGGAAATTTCTAAACTTTTAACATTTTTAACAGCCTTTCATGTGATTTGTGTATATCAAAGAGGATCAGGAAAGGAGAATAATGTATTTTACTGTGCTCTTATTATTTTTTTAAGTGATTGGAATATGTGAGGCTCTATATGGAGGATGTCCTTATCCCATGGCCAGCAATATAGGACTCCCAGGAGAGAAAGCTGGTTAGCCCACAAAGAGTCTTGCCTCCTCTAGCCAGAGTGCAGGGCTCTGCTCCTAGGAATGGCCATGGAGTGGGCATGCTGCTGTAGGCCAGCAGTCCACTCTTGCTGACCTGTGGCATGGCTGTGCCTTGCCTTAAAGATTGGTGTTTGGTTCATCTTAGCATAGCCCATGTGCACATAACTCCTTGCCTGAGTATGCACTGAAGTGGCAACACACAGACCACTGACCATGTCACAGCACATCCCCTTAACCTCACCCACCTCCCACCTTGCAGTGGCTTGTGTATTGAGATAGACCTCAATGTCACGCTCGTGGTGCCTTGCCCATGTAAATTTGAATGTTGACTATTTAATGAGGTTACATATTTAATGCAGAATGTTCCCTGGTCCCTCTATTTGTTATGTCTCTACATATCTTTTTTTCCTTTGTCTTTTTCTGTTATGATTTGGATCCAGTCTTTAACTCGATGGTATAATAAGCATGGGCACCTCCACTACCATTATCTTACAGCACTGGTAAACCAAGCACCTCTTCACGTCAGATGTTTTTAGTACTGTTTTTATATTCAGATTTGTGGAGGGCAAAAGATGAATGCAAACTAGCCAGAGAAGAGCTTCAGGCTTCCCAGAGACAGGTGGCTAGATTAATTTTTCTCTGGGTGATGGCCAAATAATGTGATGTAGAGAGGGAAGGGTGTGTTACAGGTTAGAGCAGAATGGAGAAAGAAACTATGTTTCCAGGCAGAGTACTACATAAGTCCGTCTTCAGAATATTTTTCCAAAAAGATTAAATTCAGTTAATTTAACATTATCACAAATATTTTTCATTTTAATTGTGATAGGGACTTCGAATTCGTTCATCAACTGGAAAGAAATTCTACCCTCTGTAGACACAGATGCACACACACATTATATATATATGTTTTGAATTGTGACTATTATAGCACTTTACATTTTCTCAAGTAACAGCAAGTTATTGCCTTCAATATTGATTGGAAATTGTTTTCTATTGAAGTCTATACTATAGATTTTTCCATTGATATTGAGAGTTTAAACAATTAAGCTCCTATTGGAACTTTTCCTTAAGCCACACGAGCCTGAACAATCTCTGTGACACTTGGGTGCTAGAGGAGCACAGCGGTGGCTAAGGTAGCCAAGAGCAAGACGAATGTACAGCAGAGTGCCTTGTTAGAGTGGTAACTTGGAAGCAATTCAGTGGATGTTTCACAAAGAAGACTAGAACTTCAAGGAGCCTCCTGCGCTGCTGAGGCAAGCCCTTTTGGTATACGTACACTACCGGGATGCCTAGAAGCCACTTCATGAAGAACAACAGCAAGATGAGGAAAGAAGTAACTGGAACCTGTGGAACGACAACAGAAGAATCACCAACCCCTGGGCTGAGTTAGAACTGGAAGCCAGGAATATGACAATGAGTTTTGAGATTTGCCCTCAGAAGATGAACTGAATGATGTATGGGTTGGGGTGAGGGCACAAGCACTCCTCCTGCCTACCCTGCTGCTGTTGAGGAGCTAGAAGTAAAACATGTTGGTTAGGGTTTTAACATTTGGAGTAGCCTCCTATTGTCGGATTAAGTGGGGGTCAGTTTTGCTTCCAAACTCAGAATAAGTTTGTAAACATGGGAAAGTCTAAGTCAAGAAAGCTAAAACTCTAGAAATATTAATGGTATTTCTGGGAGTAAAATACTGAAAATTATGTTTTAAAGTTTCTAGTATTAGAAAGTTTCCAGGAAAGATCTTTGGGTTCCTAGTAAGCTCAGTTTTGAGTTATAAATACTTTGGTGCTGGGAAGTAACCTGACATTTGGTTTTGCTGCAATTAGGGTTTTCACTAGATTTCACTGCAATTAGGATTTTCTCCTAGATTTTACCAGCAGTGATCTGAAAAGGTACAGGCTGGCCCCAGAAATAGGAATGGATTTAGGATACTACACTATATTTCAAATGGTTCTAGATGTGTAAATATAATACAAACATTCTTGGAGAGGGAGTGAGAGCAACCAGACTTCCTGGGCCAACCCTGGCATATGTTTCATTCCCCTCACCAGTTGATAAGGATTGAAAATTCTGCTCCAGTCTAACGAGTGAACAGGATGGCTGCCCACAAAACCAGGTTATTAGTTTTACCTCATTGGAGCTCATATTCTCGAAGGCCCAAAGTGCTGTGCCGAGACAAATCCAAGTGCTGCTCTTGTGAAGTGTGCACTGAAGTCCAGCTGTCCGTGCTTACAGCAGTGCCGAAAGTGGGGATTCCACAGACCAAAAATGGTGCCATAAGGGGGGCCGGAAGAGTTGCAGTGCAAGATCCTAGGAAAGATGATACCAAAGAAATCAAGCCTTTTTATCCTGATGCTTCTAAGATGATGAGGGTGAGTTGTGACAGATGCTGTGGGAGGGGAGTTCACATACATTCCGTGTCAAGGCATTTAGCTGATAAATCCATCCTCAGAAAAGCACCGTTTTAAAAAGTCCGTTTTATATATTGAATAAGAAGAAGATGATCATGATCATGATCATGATCATGATCCTGATGAAAACCCTGGCAGATACAAAGTTCCTCAGTATTTAAAGAGAAGGAATTCTTCCTTCTCCCCTGACATGACTGTGGCTGTTGTCCAAACCTCAGCTTGAGAACATCATATCCATATGATACTGAGAGTGGAGGATTTTTTTTAAGAGATACAGTAGTTTTAATAGGTTTGTTTAAAGAACTCTTGGGAAATTTCTTAACAAATTGTGATTGTTTTTATAAACCTTCCTACAGAGTTGTTTACCATTCATCATCACCATCATTTAATATCTATAAGTACCCAGAATGTACAAGGTGCTATACAGCTGTTAAACACCCCCTCCCTGCAACTGCTTAAAATTAGAATAGATTTTGCATCACCCACTGCTAGAAGCTTTCCCCACCTAGGTGGGCTGCAAGGCCTGCATTCCGAACATCCCATTACATGTTTCCCACTCCAGAAAGCCTCCGTGTTTATTCCAGTTTTTCATTTTGACCTGTCCCATCTACCCCCATGGTTTTTTTTTTTTTTTTAATCAAGAAAGTTTCAGGGAATCAAAAGAGGTCGGAAATTTTTTAACCTAGCAAAAGTACAGAGTCATATATTTTGCTACGAATATTGTTATAGTACAGAAAACCCACTTTGCCCGTTGGTGTGTGGATAATATGTGTGTGTCTGCGCCCGTGATAACTTGAATGTTGAACCAGCCATAGGGTTCATTTTTGAAAGGTTAAACCACACTGCTTCAGGAATTGCTCCAAATACTGCTTGGTTATCCCTTCCTTTGCCAGTTAGAGCTAAAGAATGTGATGTGTGAACACAATGGGTTGGGATTTTCTGTTGAGGATATGCAGGGCGTTTTGGCATGAGGCTAAGACAAGCAAGATTTCATCCTATCGGCGATTGGAATCATGACAGCCCTCATTCCAGTCTCTCTCTAATTCTCTCTGGCCCTGCCCACACTCTATATTTGAAAACCTTGTTTTTCTTGCTCTTTCCGGAGTTTCACCCCTCTACTTACATATTGTAAAGTTGTATAAACCTATCATTGAAAGGTCCCCTCTGCCACCAGTGGCACCACCCTTTGGTTTGCTGTGGTACTTTGCTGTGTACTCTGTGGCATCATGTTACTGTGTAAATAAATTCATTTTAATACACACTAAAAACCAGACAAATGCTTGTTCTTTCGGCAACTCTTCCGCACTGACATACTGGGGAGGGTTTGGTTGCAGACATAGTTATTATGTCTTGTCCCCCGCAGGGCAGGTACCCTTTTCCGTAAGACAGGAAGTGATGGCTTTCAGCCACTGTGCCTTCTGCACTCTGGGTCCTCATCACCTGCTGACATGGATTCTATTTCTCTGCATTCCCACTCTAATTTGAGGAAACCAGGCCCCAAAGAGAAAGTAAAGGCCTTCTGCTTTTCCCAGACCTCAGAAGGCTACAGATTGCTGTGTGAGATCGCCCCCTGGTGAGCAGTCACCTGCAGGTGTCCTGGGTTTGTACCGCATGTTGAGAGGCTTGGTTAGCGGGCTCTGGCTGACCCTCTCCATGGAAAGAGCTCTTCAGGTAATATGAGCAGGGGAAGGGCCTGGTCATGCATCATCTGCAGGAGTCACATGCTTTTGACACACAGTGATACACAGGGGCCTCACAAAGGCAGACAAGCTAATGTGTGGACACTTGAGCAGCACAGAGATGAGGCTGCCTGGCTTAAGCAGGAAGGGTCAGCAGTCAGCAGTGGTAGCAACAGCTGCCGCATTATTAGAGGAGAACAGATAAAAGGGCAAACGTAGATTCTAAATTTAGAGCAGATTTTAGAGCACCAAACCCCTTACTGGGGACACTGTCTCCAACCCAGTATCTCTGCTCTTGTCTACTAGCAAGCACTCTGGAATTCGCAGGTGCTCTTTTTAAGGCATATTCCAGAAGAGTGGCTGCCAGGCTTAAGGTTTGTGTTCCTGAGGAGCAGCGTAACAGAACCCGTGTTGGTGTGGACCCAAAAGCTCTCTGCGTGTCGCCTGGGCCAGGAGGAAGCGTCAACAGCAAGACTGACTGGACAGTCCCCAGGAATACAGGCCCTGCCTGCTGCAGCTGTGTGGCCTGCTTGCTGGAGAAGAGCCCGTGGCACTTCCCTCCTCATTGTCAGCACAACACACTGGCTTCTTCGGGAAAGGAAGCAAAGAAAAAAGTAGGCAGTTGGGGTTGGGAGGTCACAGAAACCAAACACACCAGGATGGGGCTGCTGTCTGAAGCTCTGCTGGCCAGAGTGCCACCTGTGTGGAGGCCAGATCTCACTAACGCAGGCCTCCATAACTGAGGGATTCAGTTAAACATTAAAAGCTGAAGGAGCCAGTGCCCTTATACAAAGGCTGTGATGTAACAAAAGCACATAGAGAGTTTTGCCTGGGCCTTTCCTGGGCCTTGAAGCGTGACAAAATAACAAAGGAATTCTTACAGGAGCCATTCAGGATTAAACAAGTTTATTGGGGGTCTGAAGGAACTCCCCCACACCTCCATGATTTAGCAGGAGACAAGAGAAAGGTAATCACCCCAGCACCTGGACCCTTCTGGATTAAACTTACTGAGGCGTCAGTGGAAGGTCTTCAAGACTCAGACGTTAGTAATAGATTAAAAGAAGTTAGTCACTTGGGTCTTCAGATGAACGCACACTTACGACGTATAGCTTAGAAGATATATAAGCTCTTGGAAACTGTCATTTTCAGTTGGTCTGGTGATAATTTCCAGGCCTTCTCCCTATAACCGGTTACAGAAATAAAAACTCCCTTCTCTCCCAGTTCATCTGCATCTGGTTACTGGGCCGCAAGACTAAGCAGCCCAACCCTCAGTTTGGTTCAGGAACGTCTGGAACCCTGAAAGGATATAGGGATGGTGGGACCAGTTCAGGATTGCCCAAGCCAGACTCCAGGTGAGGTGGAACAAGGCCAGCACTTGAGTTTCTATTCTTCAGTGGGATCACTTTGTCCTTTGGTGTAACAGGAGAGCCTGGAGATAAATTATCCTATTCCCCTTCCCCATTACCCAGCATGGGACTCATTCCTGCGAATTCCATTCGTGGGTCCTCAGTGACACCATCCTGACTCTGGGTTGCCCAGAGGTGATGGGCCACTGACATGTGGATGGGGCCTTTGGCAGCTCCATGCCTGTAGAGTGTGGTCCTTCAACCGAAGCCACAGAGAATCTTGATTTCTTTCCTGCCTGGAGTGAGTTGTGGGGAGTTCTCCATTGCCTGGGGTTGCAAGTGTGTACCTTCTGCTCCAGGAGCTCTTTGCTTCTTCTCTAAAGCCCAGCAAATTATGCTTCCTTTTAAGTGAGTTTGCACTCTGCTCTACAAGAGAAGGAACTTCATTAGTGCCATAGGAGCCAAGAACTGCAGTTGGCAGATCACAAGTTGTTAAGAGCAGCTCAAGGCAATTACAGGTGAAACTTACAAATTGGATTTCATACTGGGTGGGGGGTAGGAAGGAATTGGTTGTCAAGATCCAGTTCTCTGAAATTTGCAAACTTCTAAAAGGAAATAGGCTTCCTGGACACAAACTGACTTCCTTGGATCCCAGATAACCCTCTGTACAGGTATGTGCACACACACACACCAACTAGTGCCTCCCTTGCCCTCTGGGAGGTGCATGGAAGCAGCCAGAAAGCTGAGTGATAACGCTGTGAGGGCTTCTGAGGAATCTGCAACTATGGTGACCAGGGTCCTCGAAGCAACTCTCCTGCGAGAAGGGCGGTATAGGGACTCAGGTTTTCCCCACCAGGACCACCCATTGCTCACCAGCCCACACTTGAGCTGGCATCAAAGAGCAAAAACCTACAAGCCCTGGTTCATCTTTGCCCTGGGATGGGGGATGGGAGGCAAAATGTACCTCAGGTAAAGAGAACGTGGAAAGGTAAAGTCACCAGGCCCCCCAGGGAGGGGCAAAGTTGAATGCCTTGAAGAGCTGAGATGCTCCTCTTCCAGGGTAAAGGAGTCTGTCTCTAGAAAGCCATCCCTGGCAGTGCTTCCCATGGACTAGCTAAACAGCTTAATTTCATTTTCACAATCCAGTGAAGTGGTTTCTAGAATTATCCCCATTTTGCCCACGTGAAAACAAACCAGAGAGCATTTGTTTGCCCCAGATCCTTAGTGAGGGAACTAGCATTTGCCCTCTGGCGGTCTGACTCCACCTCCCAGCTTCCTGGAGTGAGGGACAGTCTTCCCTCACTCTCTGGTTGTCACACCAATATTATCAGTAGCTCCTTGGTGTCCAGAGAAGAAAATCCAGTTGCTGATTCTTCCACCTCTCATGCTTCTTGCTGAGCAGACACTACAGCAGCCCCCACTCTCCAGGCTGGCCTAGAAGACATGCATTGAAATTCTCCGCACTGGCATTGTTCCTCTTCTTTTTCTTCCTGTTCTTCAGGGCCCCATTCAGCCAAGAAGCTTTTGGGGGGACATCCATCTGAAATCACCAACTCACTCCCCAGATTCAGCTCCTGGCCTGGTATGTGTGTGCATCTCCCTTCTGGTGAGCTCCTCCAGGGAGGCTGGAGCTTTACCTGCTCTGCCTGCTATCCTCAATGTCTGACTCGAGTGGCAGGAAGACAGGAGGAAAAGAACTACCGGTGGCTGCTCTGCTGGGCCAGGCTTTCCCTCACATTACCTCATTTGATCCCCACTACAGCCGTTTTACAGATGAGGAAACTCAGAGTGGGTAAGAAACTGGCCCAAGGCTGCATAGCTGGTAAGTGGCACAGCTGAGATTCAAACCGAGGCCTGAAGCCAGTTCTCCCACCACCTTACAAGTCTTTGTCTGTTGACTTGTTTTTGTGCCAGTGGATAGGTAGGCTCAGGCCTAAGGGTGTTTGCTCCAACTGTGACAGACTGGGGTAGCCCAGGAGTGCTTCCTGCTGTGGGCAGAGTGTGTGAGTGAGAAGGAAGGGCTGGACCCACAGCACTGGCCAGGCTGAGCAGTCAGATCGTAGCTTACCTGTACGGCCAGCACTTTTCCCTGTCAGACCTTCGCTGAGCTCCTGTAGGGTGGCCAGGCCAACGCAAGGTATGGACACTGGCCACCTTTGAGACGTTTCCTCTCCAGGCCCCTGAGCAGACGTGCTGTTGGCTCTCCACCAGGAACCACAAAGGCAACTAAGTGGCCACCAGCTGCCACAGAAGCAACTGGCAAATTTATTTTCCTTTTTATCTTTCTCTTTTTGGTTAACAATCTGCTCTCCATTTACCTACCCCCTCCACTCCCACCCTGTCTTGGTAATCAAGGGTGTGAAGTCCTCAACCCCTAAGAGCTCCATGCATGAACAAATATATACAAGACATACGTATATACCTGTAGGGTTCCAGTCTCTTACAAAAATTAGATTTTAATGTGTACAATACTTTGCAAATTGCTTTTATCAATACAGTACATTGCTTTTCTTAACAATACATCATTGGCCAGCTGTGGTGGCTCATGCCTGTAATCCCAGGACTTTGGGAGGATCGCTCAAGCTCAGAAGTTTGAGACCAGCCTGGGCAACACGGTGAAACTCCATCTCTACAAAAACAAAAATACAAAAATTAGCCAGGTGTGCTGCACACCTATGGTCTCAGCTATTCAGGAGGCTGAGGAGGGAGAATCACTTGAGCCCAGGAGGTTGAGGCTGCAGTGAGCTGTGAACTGCACTCTAGCCTGGGCAACAAAATGAGATCCTATCCCCCAAAAAAAACAAAAACAAAAAAAATCATGGACATCGTATTTCTTTAGCTTCTCACGTTAAAAATAGTAGCAGTATATAATATACACATATACGAATAGTATGATTTATTATTATTATTTCCACTTCTTCAGACATTCAGCCACCTTCTCATAGGGATAGCTAAACAACAGAATATGAGAAACTACTCCTGAGAACTATAAAAAGAGATGCACAGATACAGAGTTGAACTATCGGGTCATCTTGAATTTTAATAAAATTTGAATTTTAAATCTCAATGGGTTTTTTTTCTGGAGTGAGAAACTTTACAAAATAGTTCTCAGAGTCACTTGGAGGAATGAATAGATGAAAGAAACTCAGAAATTTTTGAAATTCAGGGCATCATGGAGCAATGAAAAAGCTATGATCAATAAAACAGTGTGATACAGATACAAAAAAAAAGATCAATGTAATAGAATAGGTAACTTAAAAACAATTTAGTATGAAACTAGCATATGTAATATATGATAAGACATCACTATATGAGAAGGAAAAAAGTTTATTCAGTAAACTGTGCTGGTACAATTGGTTAGCTATTTGGAAAATATTAATCTGTATACTATAAGCTGAAATAAATCCAAACAGATCAAACAAAGTTATATGCCATAAAGGAGAGAAAAGAAAAATTCCAAGAACTAGAAGGAATGTCAAGTCAACACATGTTTCATCTCTTGTTGGGAAAGGACTTTGTATGCTCAGGAGCAGTGGAAGGCATCTGAAAGGGAACGATCAATGGGTTTGACTAAAGATGATAAACCTTTGTCCACGGAAAACAGCAGAAACAAAATCAAAAAGTAAATAACCAAGAAAAAGATTTCAGCACACATAACAGACATAGGGTTAAAAATCTGAGTTATAAAGAGCTGTTACAAATCATTAGGAACATAAAACACTAATAGATGAGAACAGAGAAGCCACAGAAGAACCCAAATGTTTAATCTTTCTAGAAACGAGAAATAACCTAAGATGGAATATCTTAAAATAAAAAATCAACAGCTTTTTCTGATTGATTACAAAATAATACCTGTTTATAGTAGAAAATGTGGAAGACAAAATTGACCCACTAGGTCACCATCTAGAAATGACCACCATTAACATGCCCTGTAATCCTGCAACAGTTGTTGACTCAGTCTGTTTTCTTTTCATTAAGATCACATTGTTGGCACCCTATTTTCCGTCTATCAAATTAAAAAAGCTTATACTCCATGCTGGTGACAGTGTATACGGTTCCATCAATGTTGGTGCAATTCAATTGTATGGAAACGGACTTGATTTATGCCATCCTGGGATGCTGGGCAAGGGCTGAGCCCAGTAGTCAGGGTGGGGGCGGGTAATAGAGATTCAGATCTCCAAGGTCAAAGTGACAGAGTCACCAGGGAACTTTTCAAAAGGAAAGACCTCCCATGTCCAGTGACTCCGAGACCCCCTCCTCCCCAGGTCCTCCAGCTATTCTGAGCTTGTAAGGAGCCTCTCTGCCTGAATCTGGATTTCGCTCCAGGTTCCACCTCTAGCAAACCGTCCTCAGCCACCCTCTGAGCCTTGGTTTTGATGGGGCTGCTACCCCACAGGGTCATTGTCAGGATTAAAGGTCAGAGTCCGGCAAGTGTGTGTAGTCCACTGCCAGGCAATAGTAAGTGCTCAAATATTGTTAGATCAGAAAGGCAAACTCTGAGCGAGTATTTACTTTCTGTTTTTATAGCCAAGGACTCATCACGGGATTTCTGCTGAACAAAGGCACTGTGAATTCAAATCTTGGCCTCATGAGAGTCAGAAGCTGCGTGCAGCTTTTGAGTGGCAGTCTCTCCAGCCTTCCAAATATCTCCTGGCTGATTTCAGAAAGCCTGGTTAACAGTCGTTTCTCTGAACACCTCCTACCTGCCCAAGGTGACATAGCACATCAGAGGCAGAAATAGGTCCACACCTCTGATTCCAAGCCTGCCTTCCTCCCTGCCTTCCTCCTTTACTGGGGGAGAGTCAGGCACAGTGGTAAACTGACAAGGGGCAGGGCTGTGATAGGAAGTAGGGGGTGAGGATAAAAGCAGCTATTGGGGGCGCCTCCAGCTCTGGGCCGATGTGCTCTTTAGAGGGTCAATGTGTCCAGAAGCACCCCCTCCCTCCCTCAGCAAGGGGCCGGCCCAGGCCCTCGGCCTTCCTCGGAGCCAGCTGCCCACATCACAGCCCTCATTTCAGCTCCCCTCATGACACTGTGCCTTGCATAATAAATGCTTCAGTTGAAGGGACTTTACTTTGGGGAAAGTCATTAAACTACTTTTGTGGAAACATTTTAATTGAATTAGATTGTTTTCTGATTGTAATAAATGTTAATTAATTGAGTGGGCTGAGTGTCCTTGGATCTAGCTGGCTTCTCTCCGTTTAATTAGGAGGTGAATGTGGACTTACTTCTTTTTACTATGAGCCTGTGGTTTAAATTTATCTTTTCAGCTAATAAAGTGATCAGGCGAATGCAGGGAGCAGATTATTTCTTCTATCTGAAATTTAATAGCCTGCTTCGCTCACAGAGCCAAGTGGCAGCGTCTGCCTGGCATCATTGGGGCATGACCCAGTTCTCCATCTTGTCTTAATGAGGTTTCTCTATTTCTCTTGGGAAAAGAAGTAAGTTTTAAGTTCTGCAAGCCTGCCTTTGTCTCAAGGATACTAGTCACCTTGGGGAACGACGCTGCTGGTTCCCACAGGTGTGGATGACCTGACAGGCAGGTGGTCTGCCAGGCAGCTGAGACTCCTGAGCTTTTTGTCCATCCCTGGAGCAGGCAGGTAGGACTTGTGTAGTTACTGAAACTCAGAATAGCCAACAGCCTCTGGCAGCTTCCTCACTGTAGAGATGCTGCAGCTGCAGCCCAGAGACGGAAAGGGCATGCCCAAGGCCACACAGCGTGGCCCTGGGACAGTAACACTTACATCCCCTGGCATCTCTGACTAGTAACAAATTCAGTTTGGGTCAGCCATCACTGACATAAGCCAGAGCCTTGGCTAGGTGAGAGGGTCAAGGTAGGTCCAAGGTCCTCAAGGAGATTGCAAAATAGTGACAGCCATGTTGTATAAACTGAATAATGACAGAGGGATCCACACAACATAGAAGATAGCATGAGGGGCCAGGCATGTTACCTTGACTTGGGGATGGAAAGGGCAATCTTGGAAGCCTTCTGAGAGGAGATGAGTCTGCACTGGGTTTTGAAGGATGAATAGGAGTTCTCAGGAGGCAAAGTGTGGTGAAGGTTATTACAGACAGAGGCAACAGTATATGCAAAGCCATGTTCATTCTGGCATGTGCTGGCAAAATGTAAGAGCCACAGGAAGCTCTCAGCAGAGGCAGGATATGCCCAGATTTGCACTGTAGGAATGATCTCTCAGGCTGTAGAAGTGGAGAGACCAGAGGGGGAAATTAGGGGTAGAAAAAACCAAGGGAGAGAGGCTGGGAGCCCCCAGCTCAGCTCACAGCCATGGAGATGGAAGAGCAGGGGCAGATTCTGGAAATATTTAGGAGGTAGAGTCACCAGTCTCCAGCTTCCCAGAGAATCAGGCCTCCCGTGGAGGCCCCCACGAGGGAGTAGGTGAAGAGGAAGGAAGGGGTAATTCCCTCCCTCTTGGACAAGTTCTTTGGCAACTAAATGGCTCGTGTTCCCCTGAATAGTGCTGCGAGGTGACAACACTTGCAGTGACAGTGACAGCTCACATTGAGGAGCTTCCTTAGGCCAGATACCATTACATGTGACATGTGATGAACCTTATCTTCAGGACAAGCCTGCAACATGGCTCCTTTTCCCATCCATTCCACCAGTGAGGAGACCTGGGTGTGGAGATGGACCCTGACCTGCCCAAGGTCACCAAGCTTAGGAAGAAGCAGAGTGGTAGCTCTCCTAGGCCAGCCAGGGCCTCTCTGATAATATATATGTGCTCCACATTCAAATAGGGCTTGCTTGACTCTTTACCCAAAATTATCTATTGTAACAGGCAACAAGAGTCGAGGTTTTCCTTTGAAAAAATCAAAAGGCCTTCCAGCACCAAACATCATTCCCCAGGGCCTTGCCCTTCCTTGTCCATGCCCAGGCCCCCTGCGGTCTGGTGCGAGAAGGCAAGGAGTCCAGGCTGGACTGCTTTTCTGCAGACCCCTCACTAGAGAAAGGAGGGCCTGGTTCAAACTCACTGACTCCCTGTGTGATCCTGGGCAAGTCCCCCCGTCTCCAGGCCTCAGCAACTGACCAGGTCTGCATCAGCCCCTCCCAGGGCTGCTGTGGAGTCTCCAGGAGCCACATGGGTAAGGCTTCCGTCACACAATAGTTGATGGCTGCTGTGATTAAGGCTGCCTGGGCCTTGCTCCTGGTTTTCTCGAGGCAAAGGAGGTTTGAGACACAGGACACAGAAAAGTGTCTTCACAGGGGCAGCCACTAACCCCAGAAATTGGCCCTCAGGTCCTGCCGCCCAGGAATCAAGCTCACGGCTTGTGGAGTCTCTTTCTTCAGTAGGCATCCTTCTTCTGCAAACCCCTAGTTTGCTGGGGACCCCAGAGGCACATCCTTTCCCACCCACATGTCCCCACTATCTCTGCCTGGCAAGACTGTATTCACCCTTCAAGGCCTCAGTCTAGCCCATCTCCTCCCCAACCCCATCAGACTTCTCCCCCATTGCCCTTTTGGTGCTTCCTATGGGTATCTGGCCCCACTCTGCCCTTCTCTGCCACTGGGCACTTGTCTGATGCTGGAGAATTCCCAGGGCAGGCTCATGCCTCTGACTAGCCCAGAGCCTGCCAGAGTCCTCCTCTGGGCAGCTCCAGCTGAGGACTGTGGATAGCTAGAGAGAGGAAGAAATTCACCCTCCACACTGCTGAGCATGCACACATGCACGCACACACACCACACCACACACACACGCACACCACACACACCACACACTGCACACACACCACACACGCCGCACATGCACAAGCACACACAACACCCATGCACACGCGCGCATGCACACCGCACACGCGCGCATGCACACCACCCACGCACACACCACACACCACATACACACACAGCACACACACACACAGGCACACACACACAGGCACACACACACACATGCACACACCACACACATACCACACACACCATACACATGCCACACACACACCCACACATGCACACACACACCACACACCCTCACACCCCCACACACGCACACACACCACATACCACCCACAGCACACACACCACACACAGGCACACGTGCACACACGCACACACCACACACATACCACACACACCCACACACGCATACACACACCACACACACACATGCACACATACACCACACACATATCACACACACACACCACACATGCACACACACACCCCTCACACACACACACACCCCACACACCTAGCCCCTCTCCCATTTTGCAGCCACAGCTGGCCTTCTCCCTAGCTCTGCCCTGTCACTCTGGGACCTCTCCCCACTCTGCCCTGCGCTTCATCAGGCTGTTCTGGATGCTTATCCAGCCCCGGGACATTCTCACCCCACCCTTCTCACTGGAACATGCCCTGACTTTGGGCAGGGGCTGGCACTAGGCAAGCTGTCACTACACACCACAGTGGCCCTGTCTCTGGGAAAATAAATGGAACATGGCTCTGGAGCTGGTCATCTTCCGGCTCCAGGAGACTCCCACAAAAACCCAGGGAGGAAGCAACTGAGATCTTTCTCAAGTAGGCCAGTAAAATAGGCCCTGAAAAACAGGATTAAGAAGCTTTTCCCTCTCTCTCTCTCTCTGCTTGCTAGAGAGCAAAGCATCAGCAGGGTTAACTGGTTCCCAATTGATAGGTTTCCTGTCACCCTTCCCCCTCCTTCGCCTACAGGACAGACCAGCTGTTGGGGCCAGATTAATGGCCACAATTAAAAGCAAAATGCCCTTGGTGTGGCCCACTCTCCTCCCACACCTGTGAGCCTGGAGGCTGCGCTCTAAGCCCCAGGAACGGGAGATTTGTAATGAAAACAGACAGGCCTCTTAACCGCTGATGCTATCAGGGCCCAGGGGAGATGCAGACTTATTTCCTAATCTCCCCAGGAGCATCTGTCAGCCTCACTACACAGCAATGTCATTCCTGCGTGCAGCAAGGACCTTTCACGGGGCAGACTGTCAACTGCCTACCCGGCTGCCCACCCGCCCCCAAAGCTCCCAGTGGCTGCTTCCCCTTTCCTGGGCTCAGGCTGCACAGTCATTCACAAATGCTCACACTCCACACACTCACATCCTCTCATCCACACACAATCATTCTGATTCATTCATAAATTGCCTGCTGTGCCCCAATTGCATTGACAGACAAAAGAGAAAATAAGAACATCTCTTCAGCAGTGTTGGAAAACAGAAAAGGGTATCACTGATAAAGCAGTCATTTGGAGGGATTCCTAGAAGCTGAGAAGCGGATGAGAACAAGCGAAAGGAGAGGCCCATTGATGCTACACAGCTAGACAAGTCGCGGCCGCTTTCCCTACTGGAGCCCAGGGATCTCCCCAACTCCGGTGGCAGAGCTGAGCAAGGAGCCTGGAGGAGGCCTCAGGAGCTGTCTCCAGCCTGGCCTTTGTCCCAGGCTTTACTGGGTTGGAACCATGTGCTGAGTCCTCAAGGGGTTTGGACAGCCTGCGCGGGACAAAGGGTGTAGGACCCCACGGTCCCCACAGAGGGAAAGCAGGGAAGGGTCTCTTTCCAGCAGTGGCCGCTTTTACCATAGCCTACTGGTCCCTGTGAAGCCTGGTCCCTGCAAAGACACCCTAAGGTCCCATTAGCAGTGGCAGGTGGAGGGAAGCAGGCGGCATGACCTGGACTCTGCTGAAGCAGTGCCTGGAAAGCTGCCTCTCCCCACCCTACCCCTTAGCCCCAGCCTCAGCACCAGCTGCACTCCCTGACACCTCAGACTTGAGGCACAAGGGACCCCAGGGCCATTCGCCGCCAGTTCATGCACTTGGAAAGGGAACACTTCCTGCCCACACCCCTTCAAGAAGGGTCCAATTACGTCAGGAAACCCCAAGTACCATAGCCTGCTTCTTGACATTCATAATATGCCTTAGCTTGTTGAAGGCTCTGAAAAGTCTTGTGGCATCTTTTATTATGTAATTTACATTCCGTGCAGTTACAGATCTTAAGCATTGAGTAGAATCAATTTTGACAAAAGATTACACCCATGTAACCCACACACACATCAATATGTAGAAAATTCTCATCACTCCAGAAATTCCCCACAGCCACCCCACTGGCAACCGCATTATGACTTCTGTAATGATAGATTCATGTTGTCTGTTCTAGCGCTTCACAGAAATGGAGGCTTCGGGCCTGGCTTCTTTCACTCACTGTACCCATGTTGCTATGTGTCAGGAATTCCCTACTTTTCATCATCAAGTATATTTTATTGTAAGAATATACTTACGGCCGTGCGTGGTGGCTCACGCCTGTAATCCCAGCGCTTTGGGAGGCCGAGGCGGGTGGATCACGAGGTCAGGAGATCGAGACCATCCTGGTCAACATGGTGAAACCCCGTCTCTACTAAAAATACAAAAATTAGCTGGGCATGGTGGCGCATGCCTGTAATCCCAGCTACTCGGGAGGCTGAGGCAGGAGAATTGCTTGAACCCAGGAGGCGGAGGTTGCGGTGAGCCGAGATCGCGCCATTGCACTCCAGTCTGGGTAACAAGAGCGAAACTCCATCTCAAAAAAAAAGAATATACTTACTACAATTTGCATATCTATTGTCCTGCTGGTAAATATTTAGTTTCTTTCCATTTTTACTGTGAACACAGCTGAGATGAACACTTGGGTACTAGTCTTGTTGTAAGAAGATGTTTCACATTTTCCTGGGCAGGTGCACCTGGAAGTGGGAGTTGCAGGTGTGTGCACACTGGCAAACTGTTTGCCAAAGCAGTGTGAGAGTGCAAAGCAGTGCTCCACGGCCTCACCGTTATTCACGTCGCTTCTACAGGAACGTTAAAAACAATTGGTTTAATTTAGCATGTCCCACACTAATTGAGCTGCTGAACTTCTAACATTTTAAATTTAGTATTTTCTTATTTGTTTTGAGATGGAGCCTCACTATGTTGCCTAGGCTGGCCTCAAACTCTTGGGCTCATGCCACTGTGCCTCCAAAGTAGCTGGGACTGCAGGTGTGTGCCACCACGCATGGTTGAACTTAAAAAAAAAAATCCCTTTTACCATAGAATGGAACAAGTGTTTTGTAAAATTTATTTTGGAGAATGAAGATCTAGATCTTTGTTTATAAGTAGGAGAAACAAAAAGATTAGCTACAACGGTAAATCACCAGATCAATGAGAAGGAGAGGCTCAGAAGACAGGGCAAGGCTGAGAAAGCTGAAGAAATGGCCTCCC